ATACAACTTTTTAGCACAATCGGATTTGGTGGTTGTTACGAAAAAATTTTTGTGCATTTGTACAAAATCTATTAAAACACTTTGCCAAATCTTTGGCAATACAGGATAATCATTTGCATTTTTGATAAACATCTGAGATGGCACAATTACTCCCTCCAGAGGCTCGCCTAGCCAGCGAAGTACTTCCTGCTTTGAAGGTACTTCATTTGGATGAACTTCAACTACTACTTTGACTTTAGGACTGTAATTGGTGAGAGCATGAAATTTCTTCCACCAATGCCAAGGATCAAACTCAGATCGAATATCTTCATTCTCATTTTCACAAGCCTTACCAGTAAAACCATCTTGTTCAGATTTTGGTGCATTGAGTAAAACACGAACAATCACGTTACCTATAAATAGTTTATAGCTTATATATCTATTAATGATATTATATATCTAAATTTAACCTTTAATGGATTTAGAGAGCAAACGAGCTAAATTAGTGTTGTTTTTATTTTTGAGGCGCACCATTACGTATCCAGCAAATTGTAAATGCGCTGCCCAAGATATTTCCCGCTCTAAAGTTTCTTCAGACATTTTGCGTTCTTGTGTATCTTCGGAATCGCAATTTATATCATCAGAAAGCATAAGAATAATTTTATTGTTCCATTTCTCAGAAGGAAGAATTGTATCGGGATATAAATCTTCCTCTACACCTTCCACACTTTTATTATTCTTATTGTCAATTGGTACCGCAACCACTGTATAAAGATCATCTTGAGAATTTTTAAGGCATTCGACGTAATCTTCAATTTCTTCTTGAATCAAACATAAATACGGCATTTTAAGTTAATTTTTCAGATACAAAACACCGACACGCTTTAACCTAGAAATATTTGACTTACATACTCTTTTGCATGTATCAAACTGTTTACTGAACTGTCAAATGAGCAGTGTTGTATTTGGATTTGTATTTTGTTTATTTATCTGTTCCTTCTTTTGTCATACAACTTTCAATAACAAGTTTACATAAGGAGTGTTTTTGCGGAAACAATTTGGATTGATGATAAATTTTTTGTTAATAAATCAAAAAATTTTTTATCATCCCTAGCTCACCTAACTCTTGTTGCGATATGTTAAAGATGTAGCAAGTTATCTGATGCAACATTATTAAAATTATTTTGCTTCATTAAATACATACCCATACAATTGTCCAACTGTTGTCAGACAATCTAAGAGCTCAGCTTTATTTTGTTTGAAAATAGGTAAACACAATTTTGTTATACGTGCGTTTACGTAGGTTTACATGATCGTATTTAATACATTTTCGCAATTAACTCCAAAATCAATATAAATATTATCGAATAATTGTGTCAAGAGAGCTTAATTATATAACTGCTTTTATTTAAGGGAATGCTGATCATAATTAACAAAATATATGATGATGAATTATATGACATTTACACTGGTCTCAAATGACTGATTCGGGTCAAAAATCGCAAATGAGAAGCAAATGACTGATTTCTGTATACAGAATCAAATATACGCAAAGGAGTTCCATTTGCTGATTTTGTACAAATGAGCTTCAACAAATTTCAAATGAGTTTCAAATACGTTCCAAATGAAAATAAATACATCGATTTTTTAGAAGCAACCATACCAAGTAAACGTATTTTTGTGCATTGCATGTCATAAGAAAGAATCGATGCTTTATTGATAAAAATTATTTATATTTGTGAAGAATATGTTTATATATATATTTTATTATTATATTTATTTTGAATTGATAAGTTAATATTATATAAAGAAGTCTTATATAATATGAATGCATATGATTAAATAAAAAAAATGAACTATAAAGTATTTATACTTATATAAAATAACACAAACATAAAATTTTTTTATAAATTATTGAGGTGAAATATAGCATAAAGCAATAAATTTCCCCCTATGATTCTTTAAAACTGTTTAAATAATCACTAAAGCATTGATGTCATTATGATTCTTCTGGCATCAATATAACTATAAGCTACTGGGTAGATATGTATGTAGATATCAATGACATCCGTTACATGAAAACGCAATTCATTTAAGTTTTTTAAGTGCGCCAAATGCGGTAACACTCCATAAATTCTCGAACAGAATTGTAATTTTATGATTTAAGTTACTTAATATTAATAAATTTTTTGCGGTAGATATTTATTTTCAAATTGTATATATTGGCATAAATGTTAAGTATATATAATATATTACAAGTCAGATTGTTTGAATATACTGAAATTCAACGTGTTTCAAAATTTTTGACATATGCTGTTATTTTGATTTTCACTTCAGCTGATTGGCGAAATTTGATGTTCGCTTTGTTTACATTTTTGACAACAATAATCAGATGTTAGTGTTGCAAAACGAAGTGAAGTTTTCCTTTCGTCGATGGCGTGGAAATTTGATTTATAATTTATGTTTTGATTTTTTTAAATAAATTTAGTTTTTATTACACAAGTAAATAGTTTTTTAATGGCAAATCGTGATATATTTTCAAAACATTTGCCTAATGTTAAATTGGCAACTCGTTATGATGCAGAAGGCCGGGAAGTGCAAGTAAGACAATTAAATGATTCTCCTACAAATTTTATAAAAATCAATTATTTTTTAATTAGGTTGAAAGGCGTGAAGATTTGGATGCTGCCGCGAAAGAGGAGGAAACATTCGAAATGCTAGTTGCTGCAGGCTATTATCGTGCAAAAATAAAAGGCTTATCAGCATTCGACAAAATAGTGGGTGGTATGACCTGGTGTATAGAATGCTGTGATTATGATGTTGACGTGGATCTGCTTTTTCATGAAAATTTAACAATTGGCCAAAAAATGTTTGTTTTAATAATAATATCAAATAACTATATACATAAAAATTTTTATATTATATAGTGCGCTTGTTGAAAAAATTGTTACCGTGCTGCCAGACATGAAGTGCCCTTTTCTAATAGAACCTCACCAAATTCAAGGACTTGAATTTCTTAGCATATATCCAGTTATACACTGGCTTGTTAAAAAATCAGTAAGTAATGTAAAGCTTAAATACCAAATATATTTTTTCTATAATACATATGGTATTCAACATGTATCAATAATATCAATAATATTTGTTGCAAATAATAATATAAATTTATATATAATATATTTCAACATTAAGGTGGAGAATCGTACTGAACGTTCACAACGTTTGAAAAAGTTTGCTATTGGTCAGTTTCATAACGATTATCAATACAAAACTGATAGGGAAAATTTAGCTAAAATATACATTGCGTCAGCACACATCAAAAGAATACAGGTATAAATTTCGAATAAAATAAAAATGAAAATTTCATTTATAAATTATTATATAAATTTATTATTCACATAAACAGGAACTGTATAATCCTAGTCGTCAGTACCAACGGAGGGAAGTCACAAGCGAAGATGAAAAAACACGCGTTCGTATGACACTTTTGGAATATGGCTATAGAAGTTTTCCTGGCAATGGAACCAATCTCTTAAGTACCAAAAATACTGACCCTAATGCGGATTCTAATGCAATTACTGATAATGAGGTAATGTATTAAAACATATTTTGTGTCATAATGTTCGCAACATTATGTTTAATAATGCTTTCTGTATTGTTAACTAAACTTATATTTAAATTTTTTATTTTTCTACATTTTTGCTTGTGTTTGTTTATGCTTCATTGTGTTTTTAATTTGCAGATCGATATTAATCAATTACTTAAAAATTTGTATGTCTCAAAAGAGGTAAAAATAATTAAGTTTAAATTTTTATTTCTATTTTTATTGAATAACATATACAATTGGTACTATCTTTAAACGATTGACACAAATGCAAAACCGATATTAATATTTTAATGATAATTTAGTTATATAAAAAACTATGTTAAAATTTTATTATATAAAATAATATTAATAATATTTGTGATAATTTTTATTGTTATTGACCACCACAATGTCTGGACCACCGATAAATGTTATATACCAATCGAAGCTTATACTATATATTTCAAACGATCTATGCAAATTTGAATGAAGTAATTTAATTGAATATGCTTATAAGTATTAATACAGATATTTTATTTATAAAAAAAAAATAAGTTTACAAACAAATTATATATTTATAGCCACTTTTTGATTTTTAGTAATCCTAAAGCCAACTCTTTTTATTTATAGTTTTAACAACCCTAACTATCCAGAGTAAAAAACCAAGTCTATACACAATAGATTTACTTTGTTCGCAGTGTTTTCTGATATCTTAGAATAATAATAAAATGTTTCTTAAATTTATTTATTGCATATTGCAGCAAAACATTTAAATTTAGCAATCTAAATAAGTTATTATTATTGTTGTTAAACACCAATTAGTACACCAGATTGTTGGGATTCTGGCGAGATGGCAAAAGGTACTAGGTATTTTGAAAAGACTATTAAAACATAAATTAAGTTAATTATTTGAATTGTGTTTATCGTTTAAGAGTAGTACTAAGATAATAAGATACGAAATTTAAATGTTTGTAATTTGTTAGAATTTTGCTGGACCGACAAAAGCACTTGATACAGTCGAGCGAAAAGCTTTGCATAAACATTATGCAGATTTTAAAGAAGAAATGGAAACTGACGCCAAGCAACTATCAGAACAAGGACAATTTAAAATATTGGAAGCAACGAAAACTGCATTGGAGCGTAAACTGATAAGAAATCAAAAGGAAAATGAAGAGCTATTGACTGAAGTACTGAAACAAGAGGAACAGTTAAAGATAGAAGAAAAACAGCGAAGCACATTAAATGCTCAAATGGCAGATTACAAAAAAATTGAAGCACAAACAGAACCAGCGTATGGCAAATATACTATATAAGATTACATATATAATAAATAAATATCTTATTTATAGAGTTTTATTAAAAGTTCAAGATTTGCTTAAAATGCACGATGACTTAAAAAAAGAAGAATCTGATTTCAAAGATTTTTGTCGAAACGATTTAGCAGAGTTGCAAAAACAAATAGAGTAAGATATTTTTGATAATTTGATATGATTACTATATATGCTTAATTTAAAAATACTAATATTTTCAGTGAATTAGAAGCATTTAATGCACAAAATCCGGAAGAACAGGCCCTAGCGGTTAGCAAAGAAAAAATGTATATTAAAGAACTTAAATTGCAATTAGCTAAGAAAAATCGTGGTATTGTTGCAATACAGCGGCAATTAGATTCAATACCTGATCGCACCGAACTGACTCAGTATCAACGACGTTTCCACGAACTTTACAATGAAAGTAAGTTAGATTTAATATATTATCATATGTGATCTATCATTAGTTAAATGGTAAAATTTATATTTTACAGTGAGTGCCAAACATCTTGAAACTAAGCAATATTATACTCTTTTTAATACTTTAAATGATAAGAAACGTTATATGGAAAAGGAATTATCGCTACTGAATTCTATATGTGAAGCTTACAACGAAGGCATGATGACTGCTCATGGACGGGAGGATTTTATTAAACAATTCGATACAATTGTGATTGGTGTTAAACATACTGAAGAGAAAGTACGCCAAAAATACAACGAAGAACGTTTAAAACGGGATACGCTTAATGAAGAACTTCAGGGATTACTTGAACTACAACGGCTTTATGCAACAGCAGTAAAGCAATTAACAAAAGAGTGCCAACGGTGTGAATACTTGCAGCAGCATTTAAATTCTATTAAAGAAGAAAAATTATAATTTCTTTAAAGCATAAGTGTTAAAAAGCAATAAGAGTAATAACCAAAATATTTTTAGATTTTTAAAATTGTAAATACGTACCTTTTTCTATTTTATACGCTTTGCAGCGCTTTTAGATCAAAAGCAAATATCATGTACCAATTAAAATCTTTATATTAAAGTTATTACATAGATTGATATACAATTAAATCATTAGAATAAACATTTACTCATAAATTAGAAATCACATAAGGTAATTATTTATTTTATATACGTAGTTTTATCTCAATTTATTATCTAGTAAACTTAATTAAATATATAGAAAATATAATCATTTTAATGCATTGTTAAGACTTTTTCCTGACAAACAGCTTGTTTACATTTATTATAAGTTAGTCCAATAATAATTTTCCACATACGTACTGGTGACGGTATTTTTCTATGATATATTCAAATATAAAATAAATAATATAAAAATACTAAATTTATGTTCAACATAAACTGCAAAAATCAATTGTTTCTGCTGGAAAAATAAATAATGTAAATTTATATAAAAATATTTTTTTTAAATTAAAATAAATATTAAAGCATTAATTAGAAAAAATCCGATAAAATATACACGCATTTCATTAATTTTATTAATGTGTAGGATCATAATTTTTTTCAACTTAATAAAAATGGACGACAACGTGTGTAAACCAATGATTTAGGAATAAAAAGTTAAATGCTCAAACATAATAACATTCGACCAGATTAAGTATAATCGAATTTGATCAGTTGCTTAACCAATTTAATGGATAAGGTTGTTCGAGTACTCGAAAATGTTCAAGCTACTAAAAGATGTTCGAGCTACTTGAAGATGTTCTGCGTTTTGTCTTTATTGTGCTTTTATAAGCTAAGAACAAACAAAATAATACTGAAAGGTGTTGCTATATGAGACGAATGTTAGTTAGCAGTATAGCAATATTTAACAGAAAAGTCTCTGAAGCATTTTGAAATCAGTATAAGAAGCAGAGGATGTATACAATCATCAGGTGAACTAACTGATAGAAGATGGCACAAACACATATCCTACGAAATTTCAATAAAATACACATTCTACAAAAACAATGTTCTAAACAGAAATTTTAGCAATGAGAGCATCTACCAAAAGCTCTGGATCAACAAATCTAATAATCATAGAGACGCAATGCGTATCAACAACCGCTGACACAAACGATGTCAAAAAACAGTGACGAGTAGAAGTAGATGTTGAAAAATACATGTTGAAAACTCGTAATCATCAAATAGTTTTACAGGTCGATGTGAGCCTTGGCTTTATCATACATCCTGATAGATTAATTAATCTGCACCTTAGATGTTACAGTACTGAATGAGTTTTCGGTGCGCATTTTATACCACTTTATTTGCTGTCATTTACCGCTACTCATCCACTTCACAGTCAAGTCATTTTTGCTTGTGAGACATTAATTTTATTTTTGTGGACGACTTTATTCCTTCTTAGGACACGTTCCGCTCATCGGGGGGGATATGTCGCTTTTATGTAGTAGTGCTCTTATCTATTATTCTTATATGTACATATGTTTTTCAATTTTAATAACAAACGCAAAAATTTCATATCATTTAAAGTTTGATATTTTTATTTTCTGTTACAGCATTCCCATTGATAAGCCTTTAAAAATAAATAACACATATAGCATTTATTTAAGCTTCCATATCAATATATTCTCACTTATTTACGATAACATTACTTATTACCAAAAATTACTCACATCCTACAAATGCCCAATTATATTTTTGAAATAATTCTTGTCATAATCTCAATTGCCTTTATTAGAAAAAATTACGTTTAGAAATGATTGACAATTTAAATTATTTTTTATTAATTTACGAAATAAACAATTAAGCTTTTTAACCAAAAATATTCGACGCTGTAACTTATCTTTTCTGTTACCAACTGCCGAATTTAGTTAAGTACGTCACACTTCAAACGCAATTAAGTCTCAAGGGATTTACAATAATTAACAAAATTACAAATTCAAATTCAAAAAACCATTTCTGCCTCCCTCAACTCCTCGACTTTGAAAAAATATAAACAAGTATAGGAGCGAACCTATATTGTAATCGCACCCCAGAGATAAGTTCATGTTCATGGTCTGCGCGCTCGCACTAAATTCGATGCTGACGTTTGCTGGCGCAGCCTAATAGATTTAATTAATTAATGCTTAATAGTCCCATTATTACGTGAAATTATATGGGAATAAATCCCTCCTCTCCACACCCCAAAATAATTTATTTATTTAATTTAACAATTCAATAAGTGCTCTGTTTGCAGCCAAACTATTGCCAACAGTATAAGCGAAACAAGAAGTCTCTTCTGACTTGGTCAATGTGCTTCACTGAGGATTCTAGCGGGTTTAATAATTATTTTTGCTGGTGTACGCTTGAGATTTTCCTTTGTCTTGTTTTTTAAGCTTTGGTTGATGATAAAAAATGTACCTTTTTTGCCGCAGTTAATTGATTTTAGTCCTTTGGTAAATTTATGTATCTTCTTAATTGTTCATGTGTTTATTGACTGGACGTTCCTTTTTAATAGGAGAATTAAGTATACAAATGTAGGAAATACATATAAAAAAAAAAAACAAACTGCGAATAACATTTCTGTATCAGATAATTTAAGTTATTTGTAATTTCCTTTGTGGAAAAGTAACAAGTAATTTTTAAAGAATAAACCAGTGGTTAAGTATCACATTTGTTCTGGACAAAGGAACATCGAAGGGAACGAGAAAGCTGACAGTTTACCTCGCTCTGGTGCTTCCCTGAATGCGCCCCTGGTGGTACCGGTTTACATTACGCTAGAAACGATTAAGAGAAGTACTTACCTCTAGTTTCTTTAAATTATCAATAACAGAAGAAAGGCACTTAAGTCATTTGCAACTGCCAGGTTCCATTTTCTCTTTATCAGACTGTTCATCGGTAAAGAAGAAAGTCCTATTATTTAAATTCGGTGGGATGAATTAATTATTTACTCTTCTATTTTAGCGGTTTCTGCGAAGAATGTGGTAGCAATACGGGAACAATTCTCTAATTAAGGTACATGCAAGTTATTTATAAATATAATTATTAACTTAAATAAGTTAACATACAAAGGCTTTAACCACAGTAAGAGCCTCTTCATCGAAGAAAAATATGTATATTTTATCAGATGTGTACATTATGGCTATTCCAGCAATCTACATCTCTTCCAAAATCGTTTACAAATGTATGCGATTTATCAGCTTAAGATGAAATAGTAGTTCCAAGATAACCCTGGTTTGAGTTTCCGGTCATGCAAATATAACGTGGAACAAGCACGCTGATGAATTAACAAGGCTTCGGCCTCTTTCATGTAACCTCCCGTTTCAATTCCTGCTCCTGTCAGTCATAGACCTAAATTGACATATGGGGACTTATTGTAAAGAAGTTAGGCTTACATCTCTTTATTTCTTACATACTTTAAATACAAAACCACTGATAGCAGGCTTCAGAGGAGCAAATCGGAGGTCTCTTAGATCATATCAGTTCTAACGGATATTATAGGCCAGCATGAAGCTAGGTTGAGTTTGCCTTGCCGAATTATAACAACAGCTGTTGTATTTGTTTTCAGGTTTATTTAAATGTGGGATAAAGGTTTCGGACATTCCTTTCTTTAACTCACTCAACAATATTTATATTAGAATTGGCTAGATCAATGATTCCGGGTGGTTCTAATATGCTTAATCTTCTATACACAATTACGAGGAATGTGGAATCAAAATAGCTTTTTGAGCTAATTGAGGAGGATTCGATTAGCTTCTGTTTCATCTACTTATATCATCTTTAAAAAATTTTTAACGACGATGGCGGATTTATTTGTTAGATTATTAGAGTCAAGTTAGAAAGGATCGATGGTGATACAACTATCAACATTTCTACTCTGACATCTATTGCCTACTGTGAAGCCTTCAAAGATATGCCATTTTTAAACATATCCAAGTTAAACCGTTTGGTCATCCAGTTAAAGCCGAGGAGATCTGATAAGTTAGAAAGGATCGATGGTGATACAACTATCAACATTTCTACTCTGACATCTATTGCCTACTGTGAAGCCTTCAAAGTTATGCCATTTTTGAACATATCCAAGTTAAACCGTTTGGTCATCCAGTTAAAGCCGAGGAGATCTGATAAGTCTCAGTCAGGCCAGTGACGAAACTATTTTCAAGACATTGAAGCTTCTTGATATATACTCCTGGAGAGAAATATAGAAAGTGGTTGTTGCATTCTATGTCTTCTTCATTATGGCAACTCTTGCACAAACCACATGTCGACATATACCACCGTTGAAACATCGATGCAATGACGCAGTGTTAGCACTACAATTTGTACAATAACTGCTATTTTGTTGACAGACAAAAGACTTTTCGTTTTATTTCTGTCCAATCCAGGTCATAAGGTCTTGGCGACCTTGTCATTTTCGCGATTAGTCCACAAGTCATTTGGCACCGTGATGGTGAACTCTTTTATGCTTCTAAACTATTCATACATTGTGGTCTATACCAGCTTCCTTACGTACTGTGTGACTTTCTCTTTAATATATTATCAAAGTATTTGAGTAATCAATAATCAAAAAGAAGCAGAGGCGAGGCGTCGAATGGTTCAGAGTGTTCACTGAACACCTTAACAAAGCTTCCTTTTTAGATTTTTTGTTTATTAGGTAAATAATCTCGCTATTTTGCTATTTAACATTTTTTATAATAGCTTTTCCAAACATATTAACATAAACACAAAACGTATAATACAAACAAAATCACACATACAAATGTTAGTTACACCCAACATTACTTATAATTAATAAAAGAGAAAACACATTTCTCTTGAAATATACTAAGGTGCAGAATAAAAACTGCACCGCGTTGCTTACAAAGCATGCAAATGAAATAACATTCACATTGGGACTATGTTCAATATTGAATACACAACACAAAACATACAAACAAATATATGTACGTGAAATAATCTTAACTCTTAAATTAATGCGTGCAAGCGGTTCAATAAAAAAGTGCACTCCCAATGTTATGCAAAGTAAATACAAAAGAGAAAAGAAATGACTGAGCGAAAATCGCTTTACATTTGACGAGAGGATCATTCCACTAAACTGAACCAAAAGTTTATACAAAGCGTGCAAATACAATCAAAGTCACGGT